TCCTCACACATATTCCAAAACCAGAAGTCCACTGGACTAAACACAATTACTATTGCTACTACTATTGTTATTGTTCCAGTATTATTTTGATATTTCGAGCGGGGCGGAAAATGTTTCATCATTGCTGGTTCATTTGGGGGTTGTGTTTTGCAGAAACTGCTTCCTATTTTATATTTTTGAATTGCTAGTTTTGTTTTGTTTTTAATTTCTCCCAACCCTTAATGTAAGCTGCCCTTGAGAGAGATCTGCTCAGAAAGGCAGCCTGAAAAGACTTTAGACAAATGCAAAAGGATTATTTATTAAATTTATTCATTTCTGCCTCCAAAGGAAAAGTCGCTGAGTGACTTAAAACGCTAATGTACCACAAAAAAAAAAACCACAACGAAACCATTGAAATGCTACCAATTTAACAAGTTGAATTCCACTTCAATGCTGGCGAAGGGATGACGTCCATCTCTGATGCTGTTGGCCACTGACTAGCTTATTTGGCTCAGGACAAGCATCACAGTACACACAGCTCTCTCCTCTTAACACCTGGCCACTGCTCCCCCAGCCCAGTCCACCCTCCAACATTCTCCACCAGAGGCAATTGCCTCACTTTGCCTAATGGGAGGATTTGCCCTGTGCTCACATTCCAGGGCTGGAAGGAGCAGAGAGGGAGTGTGGCAAGAGGAAGAGGCAAGCAAATCCCCAAAGCTTCATACAAGAGGACCCAAACTGGCTTGCTGTAAACCCAGAAAGCAGAAAGGTGCATAGAGGATTTGGTAGTTGTGACAAGCAGCCTTGCCCGCAATCCACTTTGCATCAGGGAAGTGGTCCTGCCGCACATGCCATCCTCCTTAAACGAACCTGTTGGAAGTGGCCATCAGGAGTTTTGGAGCATAATGGGGGCATCAGTATTTGGCAATGACCCATGGCTCTGTTTCTTCCTAACATCTGAATCAGGAGCTTGAATCCTGGAAAGATGGTTAGGTGGTTCCCACCTCTGGAATACACGCCAGCTGCCTGTTGTGGATGTGGCTGCACTCCCTCTAAAGCAGTGGTTGGACTACAACTCCCATCATCCCTGAGCTCTGGCCTTGATAGCTAGGGGTGATGGGAGTTGTAGTTCAACAACATCTGGGGACCCACAGGTTGAGAAAGACTGCTCTAAAGGAACTCGTGCATAGCTTGGCAGACTCCTAGATACATCTTTGTCATTGGAGACAAGTGATCTCTGTGGCTGGGATGTTTGATACGCGAGCTGTAACTGGGATAACTTGCCACCATAAGCCACTTCACCACTTTACTCCATGCACTGGTAAACTCGAGATGTGGGGCTGCCCTGGAGCCTGGTCCAGAAACTCCAGCTATTGCAGAATGCAGCAGGTAGGCTGCATGCGGTGCCTCTGTTAAAAAATCTACACTGACTTCCCAGATGCTGCCAAGTTCAAGGCTCTTGTGTTGATAGACCACTTGGGGTCCAGGATACCTTAAGTCCCACCTGAGCCTTTCTATCCCAGATTGATCACCCAGAGATGCACTCTGCTGCAAGTTGGGCATTGAGTGTTGCTGGTCCCAACACTCTTCCAGTAGATTTGACAGGCTTCCTCACTCCTAACTTCCAGGCATCTCCTAAAGTCCTTCTTATGCCAACAGGCCTAGGCAGCTGTTTTTTAAAAAAATGTTCTTGACTAGCCAGTCATTTTAGTGATTATTTGGTACTCTTAAAATGGTGTTTCATGTTTTATTGGATACATAGAGAGCCAGTGTGGTGTAGTGGTTAAGAGCAGTAGACTCGTAATCTGGGGAACTGGGTTCGCATCTCCACTCCTCCACATGCAGCTGCTGGGTGACCTTGGGCCAGTCACACTTCCTTGAAGTCTCTCAGCCCCACTCACCTCACAGAGTTTTTGTTGTGGGGGAGGAAGGGAAAGGAGAATGTTAGCCGCTTTGAGACTCCTTCGGGTAGTGATAAAGCGGGATATTAAATCCAAACTCCTCCTCCTCCTCCTCCTCCTCCTCTCTTCTTCTTCTTCTTCTTCTTCTTCTTCTTCTTCTTCTTCTTCTTCTTCTTCTTCTATACCACCTTGATATAAAATATTGGCAGTACACAAATACTGTATTTTTTCCTCTATAAGACTCACTTTTTCCCTCCTAAAAAGTAAGGGGAAATGTGTGTGCGTCTTATGGAGCGAATGCAGGCTGCGCAGCTATCCCAGAAGCCAGAACAGCAAGAGGGATTGCTGCTTTCACTGTGCAGCGATCCCTCTTGCTGTTCTGGCTTCTGAGATTCAGAATATTTTCTTTTTTGTTTTCCTCCTCCAAAAACTAGGTGAGTCTTGTGCGTCTTATAGAGCGAAAAATACGGTACTTTTTAAGAATAAAAGGGATCATCTCGTGACTGCTAGATAGGGCTTTACGCTCTAAGCAATGGCTGGGGAAAGGGTGTGGGGAGAGTCAGGAAGCCCCCCCCCCAAGGCACCTCTGGCGAATGGAAGGATCCTAGCAAAGGTGAAGTGCACCCTCTTGTGGCACTGCTTATGTGAACATGTTGCTCTGTTGTACATAAGCTTTCCGAGTGACTTGCTACTCCTTCCACTTAAAGGATGGGGAAAAAGCTATGGTGAACCTTGCCTGCATGTTGGAACTTCAAATTAACCCTCCCCACTCCCATAAAAAAAAGGTTAAGAGCAATCAGCCATTCTTTTGAGGGTTGGTTATTATTAAAGATTAAATACTTAGCAGAATCATCAGACAGAAGACTGATAAAAAAATGTGTACCTGATCATTCATTCGAGAGTAAGATCATTTAGTCTGGCTGTGTATTTGCAGTGCAACACCGTATTTTATTTTGTCAGTCAACGTGGAGATCTATTCCACCAATGATCTAGCCCCATTCAAATGTCCCCTAGAATTTTGAGGGTTTAAACTAGAGAGGGAAATAGGGGCACTCATATAAGCCCTGCCTCCAATGCCCACCCCATCTGACCGTCAGTATTGAGGAACAATACTGAGACAATATAGATAATTCAGAACTCAATGGACCATTTGTCTGATTTGGAGTAAGGCAGTTTCGTAGGTTCCTATACACACTCATTCCTTCTACCCGAGTGCAAAAGGAAGCATCTTTCTACAGGGCTGGGTCAATTGTATAGTCCCCAATCTCTCTCTCTCCCCCCCTCTCCCCCCGCTGGGTACTGTTCCTACCCAGCCTAGCCTATTGCAAGCCTACCCAGACACCTTATTTTATCATGTAGCAGTGTTCCTCAAACTTGGGTCTGCAGCTGTTTTTGGACTACGACTCCCATCATCCCTAGCTAGCAGGAACAGTGGTCAGGGATGATGGGAACTGTAGTCCAGGAACAGCTGCACACCCAAGTCTGTAAAACCCTGATGCAATGCCTAATTTCTCATTTTATTCTATGCCTTTGCCTTAACTTTTAAACTGGGCTCTCTCGTCTTTGCATAAAGTGGAAAGTCAGGAACTCTGTGATAATATGGCAATAGGCTGGAATTAGCAAATATGATCCCTTCAGGCATTCAATTTTTTACTTTTCTTAACTGTAAAGGTAAAGGTAAAGGGACCCCTGACCATTAGGTCCAGTCGTGGCCGACTCTGGGGTTGCAGCGCTCATCTCGCTTTATTGGCCGAGGGAGCCGGCGTACAGCTTCCGGGTCATGTGGCCAGCATGTCTAAGCCGCTTCTGGTGAACCAGAGCAGCTCACGGAAACGCCGTTTACCTTCCCGCCGGAGCGGTACCTATTTATCTACTTGCACTTTGACGTGCTTTCAAACTGCTAGGTTGGCAGGAGCGGGGATTCGAACCGCCGACCTTCTGATCGGCAAGTTCTAGGCTCAACTGACCCAGACGGAGGGTCCCTGTGGGGTGACCTCCACTGATGAGCTGCCTGGCCTTGAAGCAAGTTTTTCTAGTATATGTGCTGCCAAAGCGAACACAGAAGCAAGTTTTCCTGACCTGTCAATAAATACCAAAGGGACAGCAGAGAGATGTGTGTCCTGTCCGGAGGGGTTACAACATGTAGAGCCAAGGCCCTGAAAAAATAGGAAAAGCAACAGACGACTACTAAGGACCCTCAAGCATCCTACATTTTAGGAGAGAATTCTGAAGAAGAGGAGAGACACCCTTTACTCCACCCCTAAGAGAGAGGTCAACCCTTCCCTACAACCTGGCTATGCTAGCTGGGGCTGACTTGAGGTTGGGAATCCAACATCTGGAACACCACAGGTTCCTATTCCCTGCCTTGAAGGGAAATTCACTTTTTCCTCTTTTCTGCTGTTTTTATACAAACTCTGCACCTTTCCTTCTGCCACCCAGGAAGTACACATTTCTAAGTGTAGTAGGACTGATCTGCCGAAATAGGTGTTGAGCTGAACAAGCCATTAGGAAGCTTAGCCTTGATTATTCTCAATTCCTTGGCTGCACATCTCTATGCATGGATAAAAAAGGTAAAGAGACCCCTGACAGTTCAGTCCAGTCACAGACGACTCTGGGGTTGTGGCACTCATCTCGCTTTACTGGCCAAGGGAGCTGACCTTTGTCCGCAGACAGTTTTTCCGGGTCATGTGGACAGCATGACTAAGCCACTTCCAGCAAAACCAGAGCAGCACATGGAAACGCCGTTTACCTTCCCGCCGGAGCGGTAACTATTAATCTACTTGCACTCTGGCGTGCTTTTGAACTGCTAGGTTGGCAGGAGCTGGGACCGAGCAATGGGAGCTCAACCCGTCGTGGGGATTCGAACCACCGACCTTCCAATCGGCAAGCCCTAGGCTCTGTGGTTTAGACCACAGAGCCACCTGCGTCCCTCTCTATGCATGGATAGCTGCCATCAAAACCTTCCTCTTTTTATAATTAATAATAATAATAATACACAAACGGTGCTATCCTAGTGCAGAGAACACTTAATCAGAAGAAAGCTAGTATTTAATTTGTATCTTTGACGCCAGTTATAAAAAGCCTGTTACAGCAGCTAACATTTAGACGCTTGAGACATACTTATATTTGCGTTGTTTTATTAGAAAAAAATACTCAGGCAGGGTCTACAATCATCTGTCAATTAAGAATGGTATACAATGAATGCAAAAAGAAATAAAATTAAAAAATACAAATACAAACTATATCTGAAAACACCTATTTGGCAATTTTATAACTTTTTTTTTTTTAAAGAATCAAAGTAATTGCAGATGACCATATACGTTTAAGCGGTAACTGAAGTGCTCAAGCAAAATTAAAAAATAAGAAATAAAAATAACGAACTGCATTTTTTTTAAATAGTAACATTGCTACAGATCTTTATGAAATACCATTATTAAATGACTATTCCAGAACCATTCCATGTTAGTGGTGCTTATAATCCACACATTGATAAGAAATTCAAATGTATATAGACCATTCTAGACTCAATGGGACCCAAGCAAGCATCTCATCTTCATTAAGGTAGACCCCAATTTATGGTATTGGAAAAGCTAAGTTCTCCAAGCAGAGAGTCTAGAGTTTTGTTTTTTGATATTTAATAATAAAAAAATTAGTGTAAAAACAGCTGGTATTTATATTCACTGTAGTAATGCAAAAAAAAATAAAAAAAAAATCCTCCTAAACATGGAGGGTTAATCATGCAGTTTGACTGCATATAGCCACCATATAATTATTATTATTTTTACATTTGTTCCTTCCAACAAGCAAGGAAAAGAATGATTTCATATCCCTTACCAGCAATGAGCGCTGTAAAAATCCGAAGGATTTCTGGAAGGATGTTCAATGTGTTTTTTGTTTTTACAACAGTAGTATATAGGCTCTTAGAAATCCAAGAGACATTTTTTTTTTATTGTTAGGAAAGGTGCTTGCTTTTAAACAAATTCTTCTGGCAGCACTAATGAATTACAATATCCTTCCATATTATTTCTACCATAATATATACATCTCAACTTCCATGCCTCTAGAAAAAACATCTACAATACATTTCATAATATAAAAATATATTACAAATCTGCAAAATTATTTTACAAGCAATGTCCCATTATCTATTTCTCTCTCTCTCTTTTGTCTCCATATAAGACGAACATGGTAACACATATTTTTTCTATTCCTGTAGGTTAAAAGAAGTCCATAATTTCTTGCTTAGTAAAGCCAGGAAGCAATTTAATTTCCTTTTCATAGCCAACTTTGGTGCATAAACGATTGAATTTTTAAATGCTTCTTTTTTAAAAAATACAATTTTTTTACAACTAGAAAAATTTAGGCCAAAAGGAGGGGGAAGGAGAAGGGAGATTTCTTTAGTAGCAAAGAGGAGTTTTAAAGGCCAAGTAGTAAACAAAACAACATTGCTACCTTCTTCTGTAGAGGTTATTAAAGTTAAGTCTTACTAACATACAGTAATAGTCCTTATGGAGAGGATCAGATATACAGCAACACTTAACACCCACCTGTTCCTCTTGAACGTATATTCCACCAGAAATGAAAATATGCCACCACCATTTTGCTTAAACATGATACCACCACTTGTTATGCGACGACAAGTTCACGAAAGTGACAATGGATTACTCCGCACCATAATCTTGAGAGAAGAGCTCCCTCTCTAGTGTGTATTTATTTCATTTACCAAATGACAAGATCCCAAGAAGCTTGCTTACAAAAAAAAACCCAACAACCACCACCGCAGGGAGGGTTGTACAGGGCAATGTATTAATTGCCAGTTCATCCGATACAGGCTACGCCAGGGGGGTGGGGTGGGAGAGGTTGCTAAAATAAAAGCCGCAAGCATGCAAAGCCTTTGAGAACACCCACTATACTGCCGGTATATTTTGCTTTCCTCATCTCCCATCGTACAGATATATAGGATCTGTTCCATGTATATAATATATTCCATAGATGCACCGAATTCATTCACAGAATGGTTTGCCAAGCGTAAATAGTTGGTGGCAGCTGGGCACAGGGGAAGAGTGTAAGGTGGAGGGGCTTGACTAATGTGCATTTTCAATTCTAATTCCACCGTCAGTGAAGAAGATGATAGATGAGGTGCCCGCGCTGAGCTCGTTTTTACCTCTTCAACCTCTTCTGTGGCATTGTTCTAGGGAGGAAAAGGAAACATTGCGTTGGTGACTTCCCCAAAAAAACGTCAAGGAAACTTAACATGCGCTGGTTAACGGGTTCACAAATGACACTCTTCAATGGCTGTGTCTGCGTGCTGCGTTAAATCGCGTTCAGCCTGATGTGTGCAAGCTGGAATCATCCATGTGAGCCTTGGGCATGAAAGGCCCATATCCTTTTCTCCTGGTCCTATGCAACCAGGAAAAAGGCTTCAAAAATCTTCATTTTGCTTCCCCTTCAACTTAGTTTGCCCTTACGTTTCAATTGGGGCTTGTGGTTTTATCACTAATTATTGTGTGTCGTTTTGAAGCCAACCACAGTTCGTGATAAACCACAATCCCAAGTTTGGACAAGCAGCCAAGTTTAAGGGAAACCCAGGACAGCAAAAAGCCTCCACAGTCCTTTCTCCAGCTATGCAGAAATGTCGCAGTCTGGTACTAGACAGCTCTTCAGACATGGATGTGTCTTGTGAAAATGTTCTAGTGTTGTTCAGAAATTATGAGCAGTGGCCCCTTAGAAAATATGCACACTACCCAAATAAAGATCAGGAGTCACAACCTCAATTTTGCAACAAGATTCTGTTTTTCATTTTTCACGTGGCAGCAATTCATGGCCAGCACAGAATCTCCAGTACATTTCTTCGGACATGTGTGTTCCCGTTTTATTTCTGATGCTCACCATTATTATTTTTTTACCAAAAGCAAACTTTACCTTGGTTGCAGGAGCCAAAATGTCACTTTACATTCTCAGAACATGTAAATTGTATCTAGTTAAGAAAACACTAAACATTTCAAAAAAATATTAGTACAGTGGTACCTCGCAAGACGAATGCCTCGCAAGACGGAAAACTCGCAAGACGAAAGGGTTTTTGGTTTTTTGAGTTGCTTCGCAAGACGATTTTCCCTATGGGCTTGCTTCGCAAGACGGAAACGTCTTGCAAGTTTGTTTCCTTTTTCTTAAAACCGTTAATACAGTTGTGACTTGACTTCGAGGAGCAACTCATAGCACGCGGTGTGGTAGCCTTTTTTGAGGTTTTTGAAGACTTTGGTGATTTTTGAAGCTTTTCCAAAACTTTTCCGAAACCGTGCTTCGCAAGACGAAAAAACCGCAAGACGAAAAAACTCGCGGAACGAATTAATTTCGTCTTGCGAGGCACCACTGTAAATGTATTTTATGAAGACTTAAAAAGCTGGCAACAACAACAAAAAGTTTCATTATCCAAGAGTGAGTACATTAACCTGGAAATCTTAATGGCAAGAATCCAGAGAGTCTAGTTCAGGCATAGGCAAAATCAGCCCTCCAGATGTTTTGAGGCTACAACTCCCATCATCCCTGACTACTGATCCTGTTAGCTAGGAATCATGGGAGCTGTAGTCCCAAAACATCTGGAGAGCAGAGTTTGCCTATGCCTGGTCTAGTGCACACAGTGTTTCAGTGCTACATTGGGTTTGGGTGATTTTTCCCTCTAAGCTGCTGGAGTTTTAAGAAACTGATACCGGGAGGGTGAGGTGTTGGAACCTAACCATTTACTGTAATGCCATTTATTTCAAAGCAAGTGTGGTTTGGATTGCAAGTTTAAATCTCCTCAAAACAGCTGGAACATATTTCACTACTGCATCAGGTACATCTGAAAACCTACAGGGCCAGTGTACCAGGGTAAAACACTTGTGACTGACTGCTTTGTGTTTATGCCAGTCGCGATTACTTTTGTTGCATAGCGTATTTGATAGCAGCGTGCACTTTCCCAAGGCAAAACTGAAGCTGATTAATTGAAAATATGAGAAATAAAAGGTAAGTGGAAAGGCTTACTGGACATCAACACCCCAACTCAGTGTTCCCCACCTGACTTGGGATCCCATACAAATGTCCATAAAAGTATATAGCCACATATATATCAAATTGTGTCAGGGGAAAAGGTTTGGTATAATGATACGTAAACACATGAAGCTTCCTGATATAGCATCTCTTTAGCTAGTGCTGGGCTTGATGGAGTTCTTTAACTAGCAGCAGCTCTGCATGGTTTAAGGATGGCGTTCTTCCCATGCCTACTAACTGACTCACTGGGGGTTGAAGCAAGGGCTTCCAGTATTCAAAAGAAGAAAAAGAAGAAGAAAGGAAGAAGTTATGCTCTTCTGTTAAGCAGTTCCTGCTCTTAATCTCTGATTGACAACAGCAGTTTAAAAAGTGCAGGAACACAGAGGTTTCCTATGACAGGAGAAAGTTTTGTTTTGAATATGCACCCTATATTCAATACAAACACAGTTTTCTTTTAAAACATTTCAGAATATCTTTGGGGGGGGGGGAAATGTACAGAAGATTTAGTGGTGGGCACCTTTAGGCATTAATATAAAGGAAACAATTCTGCTTTTAAGAAGCTGATTTAGATAGAGAATCAAATCTCAAGTGGCACCTGGTGCTCAAAAACGGGTTACAAGAGCTGACCACCCCCTCTCCCCAAAGTGGAAAGAAAGTTATTTTCAAATTTAAAAATTGCACTGAGCACAGATTTCAGAGTAATACCACGTGTATTACAGGCCAAGAATAATTAGCATATATTTATTAAATTATATATGAGAAGATAAATTTGGACTTTTAAAAGTTGGTATACAAAAATTGGTATACAAACCAGCATGATCTTAACAGAAGTGATCTTTCAGGATTCCACTGTGTGTACCTCCTTTACTAGACTTTCTGTACACCAAGCACAAAAAAGTAAAATACACTTGGTAAATATACACATTCCCTTTTCCTGTCACTATAGTTTAAGAACTGTTAAATGATCTCAAACCTCAAAACTTAACTTTTTGATGCTGTTTTTGTTGGAAGTTGATGTATTGGTGTATCAAATGCTATTTACTTTCTCTTACTTCTGGCAATAAAACTAAGGTGAAATTAAGAATACTTGGAGGTCTACTTGACTGACTAAAAAGAAACTGAAGACATATCTAGGCATTAACTGTTAGAATATTTTTCAACTCTTTTTAGTTGTGTTTTTTTATGTTTTATCACCGCTGGGTCTTCCACCCATGGCTCCTTCAGTAGGAGAGTGAGAATATAAATCAAATTAATCTAATGATAAATAAAACTTAAGCTACCAGCATTACTATTTTTGGCATCAGCTTCAAAAAGTCAAGCGAGGCTTAAGGTCATAATGAGAAGAGAACAATCAAAAATTTAGAAGTTACCTGTATATGTTTGGGTCCAGAAGCAAGGCAGCATCTTTTGGTAGTTTTGATAAATGAACTACTTTAGTTTTTAACTGATGTCGCTCACTTTCATTTACCCACACATCAGGAAGACTATGAATTACAAAAAAATTAAACAATTGTCAACCTTTTCCCCCAACCATAGATGTTCTAAACGACATTTAAAAACAAAATCCTCACCAATGAATGTGCACTACCATCAGATTAGACAATGAACATGGTCTATGAGTGGAATGGTTTTCAGTAGTAATAGCCTTGCTTAGCTTACACATGAACTAAGGGAACCAATGTTGGATAACCATTCAATGACAATGACAACATGCGTATTCTCAGGATTCTACTTAATGCAAAGTGATGGCAGCATTGCACACGAGGAAACACTGTATATACCTGATGAAACAGCCATGGACCATTAGAAATTAGCTTTCCTGTTCTCCTTGTCATCCAAAAAATGAGAATACTGCTAGATCCTGCACAGGACTCTCATAGGTTTTTGAGATGCTAAGCCATAAGGCACTAGAAATGTTTTAACTCCTTTTGGCAATGAAAATCCTAGCCTGTGCAAGAGCATGGATTCAACCATCAGCATCCATTATAATTCAACTTACCGGTGTATCATGGTGAGACAACCAGTGCAACTACTCTTGGTTTAAGAAGTGCCTCTTCCTCATAGTGGCCATACTTCCATTTGCACACCACAAAAAACTAGCTTTAAACAGAAATAAAAGCTGCCCTGCATCCAATAAGCACAAATAGCTTAGAATATGGCATATAAAATGAATTGCAGTTTCAAGAAGTCAGAGAATTATAAGGAAATTGCAATCTTCCCAGGCCAGTGTTTTTCATAAGGATAGCAAAACACGTGAAACAGCAAAGGACGAAGATGCACTAATATACAGTTGACTCTTCAGTGCATGCATGCATGAGCAATCCCACAGCAAAATCTGCTGGGAGGATAGACTTAGGATGCAGCAGATCTCTGGCTCCAGTTGGCATCCCCAACCTCAGCTCAGCTGAAGAGACATTGGCATAGCTTGCTAATTTCTAAACTGCTTCCAGTTTTCAGTCACCAAAAATGGGTGTTACAGAGACCAGACTGGATCCTAACTAAGCCTGTTCATGTGAACTGGCAATATGGCACAGAACTCATTTTTCCCTCTGCCAAGCTTAAGTAGTGCAGCAGCAGCCAGCCTACTGCTAAATGGAGTTTGAATGTGGTGTAGCTTACACCAGCTTGCTTTGCAGCATTTATTGTGCATAGGCTTGCTCCCATACTCACATATCCTCTGGTGTCCAGTGAAGTAGCAGCTTTATCTTTCCAGACTCCTCTTTTCTCTTAGCTATTACCTAAAAACAACAGTCAAAATTATTGGGCTAAAATTGGTTGACTGGCACTCATAACCATGCATGGAAAGTGTCTTATCACTCTGCAAACAATACTGTGCAACTGGAATAAATTAGGCAAATTGAATCAATAAGCACAGAAGTATAGACTTCACACACACTTTTAATATCTGGAGGCCTGGTATTGTTTTCAAGTCTCTTCATTGTGTGAGATACTTGCAGGGGGGAATACATAGGTAAAGGGAAGGGAGGACAGAGCTGTGTCAGGAAATCAAACCTCATGAGGAACAGTTGAGGGAACTGAGTACATTTAGCATGGGAAAGAGAAGACTAAGAGGAGATATGATAGCCATTTTCAAATTATCTTAAGAGCTGACACATGGAAGAGGGAACAAGCTCGTTTTCTCCTGCTCCAGAGGGTAAACACTCAAACCAATGGCTTCACGTTACAAGAAAGGAAATTCTGACTAAACACAAGGAAGAACTTTCTAACTGTAAGAACTGTTCAACAGTGGAACAGACTCCCTCAGGAGGTTGTGGACTTCCTTGGAGGATTTTAAGCAGAGGCTGGATGTCCAGCTGCCATGGATGCTTTAGCTGAGATTCCTGCACTGCAGTGGGGTTGGACTAGATTCCTCTAGGGGTCCCTTCCAACTCTACAATTCTATAACCTTTTACCAGAAAATATTCTTTATAATTAATGTTAACTATGAACTTGAAAATGGCAAGGAAGTGATTTATTACATTATTGCAGCCAATTCCTGGGTGCATATGGTGGTGCTGGGGACCACTACTAGCTTCTGCCTCCAGTCTAATGCATTACAATATTAACACAATACGGTGTGTTTGTGTTTGTATACGATATATGTATGGGAGTCTTAGACACAAATGAGACATTACAGAGGGACATGACCCTTGTGGTCCCTACTAGCGCTACAGTTCTATTGCTCTAAGGGGACACTGCTAGACAGCATCTCCTCAGAAAAATAATAGTTGAAAAGACAAGTAACATGTCAGTATTGCATTTGCTTTCCTACTGCTGCACCAAGGAAATGGTAACACAAGACCATGTGCTTTTATCTTCAATGTTTTTATGCAGTTTGCCTTTTAAATTTCTGTCCAAAAGCTTGCTGGTTGTAAGGGATGCACGAGTGCAGAATTGAGAGGGAAGGTGTTTGTCTCATCTCTAGAAGCATGGGGAGACAGCCACAAAACTCTTGTAGAAGAAGAATCACCTCCTTTAATGAAGCTCTAGAACATTCCTGGAACTGACTCTGAACTGGCTCAAGGGGAAGGTGGGACTGCAAACATCATGAAGAAGAACTGGAGTTCTCCTATGCAAAAGAAACTGTTCAATTTTAAAGCACAGATCTATAAAAGGTCAGCTCCAGCTGGGAATTAAGGTTAGAGCTAAGTAAATGGAATTCTGCTGACCTCTTCTGGAGAAGAGCAGAAATGCAAATGGAGAAACTATAAGAGAGCTGGCATTTTAATTTTTATTTTGAAGTCTGTCATTCTGTATGTTATATGGCTTAGACCCAGTTATCCTTGCTGAACAGCAGTGGGGTTGACATAATTCCTTCCCCCAAGTTTGCCGTGGTGCACCTCCAAGTTTCCTTTGCAACTGCTACTGCTCTGATCAGGGGAAGGGAACCTCAGACCCAGGAGTCAAATGCAGCCATTCTAAAAGCCTTTCAATGTGTCCCTCCAGACTCTCCCCAGGACATGTGTCTCCCCATCCCACACATCTCACCAGCCATGCTCTGCACCATCCTCAAGTACTTTTGCCTGTCTGGAATGTGTCCTTAAACCATTGGTTAATGGGACCTGGCTAGTGGGCCCCATCGTTATCTCCCCCACCCTCACTTGGGCCAAGTTTGACAGGTAGGTAGACTTGTCAATCACTTGCCATCATAATAACACCAAGTCATCACCCTTTTCCCTGAACAGTCTGAAATGTAGAGCCCACAAAGCGTGTTTCAAAGTGCTCCGCAAGTCCCAAACTGATCACAGCCTTACAAAACCTTTTGCACAGGGCTTCTCAAAAAACATAAATCATGTGACTTGCAATGTCGGCAAATCCCTTTCAAATAAGCCAGGTTTTTAATGAAAACATATGATGTCCAGTGCAGGGCAGGTGCGTTTGGTACCTTCACTGCCTAAACCAGGCATCCCCAACCTGCAGCCCTCCAGATGTTCTGGCCTACAACTCCCATGATCCCTAGCTAACAGGACCAGTGGTCAGGGATGATGGGAATTGTAGTCCAAAACATCTGGAGGGCCAAAGGTTGGGGATGCCTGACCTAAACTGTGATAACATCTGTCGTTTGCCAGGATGGAGCTCAGCACTCCATGCACCAATGCCATGCAATCACTGTAAATTTGTCAACATAGGAATGAGGTCCTCACTGAAAACGATTCCCCGCCCCTGCTCTATTCCATGTTCTGAAGGCTTGGAACGTGCTGAGAGCTCACACACTGAACTCCTCCATTCCCAGATGTCCTCTAACCTCAAGCACTCTTCAGTAATAACTCACATAAAGAGGGAAAGGAGGTACAAAGGGCTGCACTGCTGTAATTGAAGCCACAACCCCACTGTTGCAATGCTCCGGCTGGTTCATGCAGGCTGCTCACTCACGACTCAGCTGCAACTTCTGTGATGGGAGCCTTTTCTAGTCATGAAGACTCCTGATTTAGAGCAATCAGGATTCTGTGTGGTGCAGAGGAGCCTCGGCAAATAGAAAAAGGCTCCCCCTGCAGAAGTTACAGCTGAACTCATAAGCATCCAGCAGGAGCAGTATAACACAGGGAACAGAGCTAAAGCTTTGTCCCACTGCTACTTTGTAATTTCTTTCCCTCTTCAAATGCAAGCAATGACAGAAGACTATAGTTTCCATGATGTCCAAGTTTTGCAAACTGAGGTTAGCATTAACTACAGTATGCCAAATTGAGACATCACAGGCAACTGGGTTTGAAGGAAACCTAGAGACCTGAGAAAGCAAAGTTCAGAATCTCGTTTAGCCATGACTCCCATTTAGTGACTTTGGGTCCAAGTCAGTTCCTCTCAGCCTAACCTATTTCACAGGATTGCTGTCAAAAAGTGCAAAATATAACCTCCTGCAAAGTGTCTCACTACCATTCCTGTATAAGGAACATTTTGAGCAATCAAAATGCTGTGAAAATGAAATCTGCCATGAACATGTGGACATGCATATATCTAAGCAGTGATTAAAAGCTGAAACATCTTATTAAGGTAAGTACGGAAGAATACTTACAGTACTGTGAAATACGACACTGTGGCCTTTTCCTAAACTTTCTATGTGAGCAGAAAGGTTGAAGCAGATAGCTCGATGTCGTATGGCGTCCAGAGTCTGCGCATCAAAGAAGTCATGTGGTCTTGCTAAAAAAAGGAAAAAAGCCTTCAAAACTAATGGAAGAGCATGTTAAGTATTCAAATATTCAAGCTACAAGGATCATATTCTATCACGAAGCAAAGTTTACCAGTTAAAAATAAATTCTGATCAGCTTCGGAACAACTAACTGAAATGTTCAATACATTTGCTTTTAGGATGGGCAAGCATCTTATAGATGTCATCCTATTTGAACTGTGCTTCTCTCTAAATCTACTCTGTCCAAACTTAACACAACCAATACTAAGAAAAATGGTGCTTATAAACTGAAGACAAGCAGTCCCTTTAACTGCACTTAAGTAGCAGTGAGATAGCCTTTGGAAATGAGCAATTTCTTCAGGATAGTACATTCAACTGAAGGTTCTGTCTTATATACAGACTCTTTCAGAAGGTTACAGAAGAACAAAATCATACTAGAATTGCTTCAATTATATTAACTCAAAAGAGCAATAATAACCAAATACTCAGTACATAAGGTTTTTATTCTCATGCAAGCCTTGCCTGTAGGGCATTATATAAATTTAAATTTCTCTATTAAAATTAATATGATGGCTGCCCTTTTGAATTATAAACTTAAAAAGCAGGAAAGCAAAGTAGGCAAAATCAATGTATTTTATGAGCATTATGATGGGGAAAATTTCTTAATCATTTACACCTGGTGGAATCTTGTTAACAATATCTAATCAGCATCAGTTCTTAAAGAAAAGAAAAAGTTATTGACCAATCTCAGAACAGTTGTAATTTGCACAATACGTAAAGACATCAGCAAAGATATACAAGTCATTCATATCCCAAATTCCACTTAAAGCAAAGCAAAACAAAAACAAAAGTAACAAAAAACAGGTTTATCACATATACAACCAGCAACATTCTGATTTGCGTAACATTCCAGTATTCTCTCTGCTTCGGGGGCAAACTTAGCAATGAGTCTTATAATATATTTCAGATGATATTGTAATAAAAAGGTGACCAACAAACCGGCAGATTCATCCAAGAAAACTATAGTTGCTTAAACAGAACACCCCCCTAAAGCATCTTACAATTTACAAAACAGAATACTGTGAACTAAATCTTCTACATCACATGATACACATAAACAAAAGTACCATATTTTTCCATGTATAAGACGCCCCCTATTTTTGTGTACTCCAAATTAAGGAAAACACCCCTCAGCACTACCAGTGTATCAGACGAGCCCCAATTTTAAAAAACCTAGGCTTATACATGGAAAAATATGGGATGTGCCAGTTCTTTTCATAAAAACAAGCCTTAAACTTACAGTTTTAGCTGAGGAAGAATCAACATCCTTCTAGGCCTACGAAATCATTAGTTGGCAGTCTATACGAATCAGTGTAATTTGCTTTCATTCATTTTGTACTAAAAGTTATTATTATGGACCATATAATTGTGTTCCACTGACTAAGAGAAAACTTTTGAGCAACCTTGGGAAATGAAATCTTAAAAGATCTAGACAAATCTTTAAATATACATACCTCAAAAGCAAGCAATTTAGAACAGTTTAAGATTAAACTTAGATGAGTTCTTACCTATATATAATGTTAACTGCCAAATCTTCGGAACATTTCATTTTAGATGTATAAAAATTATACACCACTACGAGTGTTTTTAATTATGCAAGTTCTGCCTAAAATACCTTCCACTCACATTATGCTAGAAATTGAAAATATTCTGAATAGATGGAATAAAAACTGCAGATGACTACTTCAGCACTGTTCAACTGCTACTGATATTCTACTTCAACAGACTGTACCAATGTCTTAGCTCAATTAAAACAGTTCTCCAAACCATGGTCTGGGAAATCAGAAACTGGAATCACACACTTCTCTTCTTCCCTCCACTTTTAAGTTTAGCTCCAACCATAGTTTGCTGTGACATCAAAACCGGTAAACCATCATTAGTGCTGACCACCCAAACAATTAGAAACCACAATTCAAACTGAAGTTTCCATTTCTGGTTTGGAGGTAGGACAAGCAATTTTAGGCATTACAATTATGCTCAGTGGTAAACTGCAAAAAGAAAGTGAAGAAGATTGTGTGAAGGGGGTAGAGCAGGCCTCTGAACTGAATCTTAGTACTGAGAACAAGAGAATCCGAGGACAGAAATAAGACTGAGAAAACATTCTTAAAAAGTTTCAGGGAAGCAAACATCCATGTGACTGCTTATGTAATTGGGTTATGAAGGTATCTACAGCAAGAAAAAGGAAAAAATACATTTGATTCAACTTTATACATTCACTATACAAGCGAACACATAAATATATTTACGACTCATTTACTGCGAAAGTAAGGGAAATAAAGACGTAAAACTGGAGAATCACGTTTCAATTCCCTAGATACTACTAATGTAAACACTGAAAACTAATTCTACACCTTTTGCTTGAGATAGCCTTGATTTTTGAAAGAGGTAGCTTTAAACTCTTATTCATCACCTTGTGGGTTTTTTTAAAGCAAGCTACAGCTTGTTGTTTAGCAAGCTTCCCTCTTATTTTCAACAACCACAAGAGTGGCAAGCTTGCTTTCTCAACCGTGCTGCACATCAAGTACTGCTGGTTTATATAACATAACTATGCAATAGTTCAATGCCAAGGAAGTCAAAACTGGTATAATGAAATTAATTGAAACTATAGGGACAAACTTTACTCTGCAGTTTTGTTTGCAACAGAAGCAACACTTGAAATTATAATTAACAAGAAATTAATAGGTTCTGGAGTAAAAGGAAGTGCTGCAATTGTATTTCCCATATTTTTTTAAAAAAGTACCTTCCATTTTGGTGAATAAGTTATAGTAGTTTGGGTCAGTATTACTAAAATTACAGCAGAAAAAAATGGCAAAATTCTTCTGCAAAGGAGGACAGAACTGCACTTTCCTATGTTTGTAAACCTAAATTTTTAAGTCTTAGGGTGTTTAATTCATCACTATCAAGTTTCATCTAAAGTCAAACGCAAAAAAAAAAGAGGAAAGAAGGCTGGGTACTTTCGGTGGCCTCCAAACTGGGCTAGAGGTTGGCCCAGAAGCTGCAGCTGGTGCAAAATGCAGTGGCTCAGCTGTTCATTGGAGCAGGATATCGCTGACAAGTTACCCCACGGTTGAAGACTTTTAAGTTGAGCTCTTTCCCAGTCTGCATCTTATACTGGAATTGTTTTTTAAGGTAGTGTTTCTCAAACTTCTGTCCCCAGCTGTTGCTGGACTGCAACTCCCATCTAGCTAGGGATGATGGGATGTTTAGTCCAGTGTTTCCCAACATTAGTTCTCCATCTGTTTTTGGACTACAACTCCCATCATCCCTAGCTAGCAAGACCAGTGGTCAGGGATGATGGGAATTGTAGTCTGAAAAACAGCTGGAGACCCAGGGTTGGGAAACACTGGTTTAGTCCAACAACAGCTTGGGACCATAGTTTGAGAAATACTGTTTCAAGGGGTATTTATTGTTGCTTGCCACCCTGGGCTGCTATGGGAGAAAGAGCGGGATATGCCTTCAATAAATAAAATACACTGTAAAGGAGAAAATGGAACACGATGGTCAGCTAATGCATGCAAATCATCACTTGAAGCTGCAGGTGTAGAATGCCGAACATGCCCGTATGAACCGGCCCCACAGCCTGACAGTTTGTCCAGAGACCATGTTACAATTATTTAGGTCTAGCTTTCCCCAACTGGGTGCCCTTCAGGTGTCACTGAACATGACCCCATCAACTCTAGCCAGTGCAGCCATGTTTGTGGCTTGCGCTAATGGGAGTTGTAGTTCAAAAATGCCTGGAGGACATCAGAATGGGAAAAGTTGAAATGAGCACAAATAGGAAGAGCCATTTTAGTTTTTAATTTCTGAAGTAGTTGTTTTAAATTACGGTAGTTCCCAAAATAGAGTGACCATGTTGGGATTCTGAATAAAGGAGGAGCCCATAAGAACATTTATTCAAGCTTAGCTCTGTTTTTGTTTTTTAAAGGAAGATGAACCAAACAAGAACGGATGGAGATGATTGGAAGGTGTTTGGCTGCAATGGTACTCCTGATTGAGGCTACTTCATCTCCATCCCTTCCTAGGTTATGTAGGGCTTGCACCTTGGCACAAGAGCACAAGGGTCTCGTTTTGCCACTCTCAGCTAAGGATGAATAGCACTGGGAGACAGGAACAACAGTGGGAGCATGAGAAGACAGAAGGCTGGGTTATTGTGAGTCAGAAGGGTTTCCACCAGTTAATGTATTTAAACTGGGCTTCAGGTGCATGAGTTTGGGAGTGCTCTCCCCACTTCCCATTAAGTTTCACATGCCTTGAAAATCACTAATATTGATTAGTACAGGCACAATGGTGAACTTGTTTTTCTATGGCTAAGACAGCAAGAGCATGGAAGCACAGTATTGTGCTCCCTACCATCAGCTCCCTGTCCAGAATGAATTCCCATGCCCCTTTCCTGCTAGTTTTAACCATGCTTAAACTTTACATCAGCACTGGCCTTATCTATTTGCAGCTCAGTCTTTTAGCAGTGGTTAAATGTTCCCCAACATAGTGTGGCATCAGCCCTATAAGAGAGCAGGTTCCAAAACCTTCATACATCCAACCTCCTTAAACCTAACAAATTACTGTGAAGTCAGTAGCACATAAAGTATGGTACAGCTACCATCTATGAAACTGTGGTGTACCCAATTTCTGGACTTAGACAATATTATGATTATAGACACACATTAATCTAGATAACTGCTCCGAGTCCAGAAAAGAACAGATCCCTTCTGTTTTTCAGGAGGCCCACAGAATGTTCCCCTCTACTGTGAAGTACTTGCATCTATTCTGGCTGGCCGAGTTGTGGAAATGGACCAGCTGATATAAGCATCTCTGTCACCCTGTACCTTACATAAAAGATCTTAAATCAAAAGTTGAAAACAATGGAATTTATAGGCTAGCAAAAAATCAATAACTAAAAAGTGGACAAGTAGTCAAGAAAGGCAGTTTTAAAGGTTTATGCTGCTTATTACAGAACTGTAGAAGTTTCGTGTGCTTACGTAAAGAGCGCCTCCGCTTGTTCTTTAACTTCCTTCTTTTGTTCATTCCAGCTTTAGAAGGAGATTCTTCTTTAGCCTTTGGCTGGTTGGTAACTTTTGAAGAATTCTGCTGGCTGAAATGTGTTGGCACGTGACGAGCCAACCCACTCTGAGACGCAAAGCTCGCATTGCACCCTCCAACGACACACTAAGAAATACAAAATCAGAAATGCTCAGTTAAGGCATCATAAGGAAGCTACCGATTCATTCTCACTTTGCATTGCTGCTCATTTAACAAAGGAACAACAAATTCAGGCAACATATTAAAAACTGCTTATTTCAAAAAGAATTTCCTCTTCCCTGGATGTGTGTGTTAACAAGGAACGATAGTTGAATCAAAGCTGACCTCCAAATACTCGAGCACTCAATCCATTCCAATTATACCATGCAAACATACGCCTTGTTCTAATTTTAAAAATCCTGAAATCACATCACAAGCAAGGGACAATTTTCTTGCATGCTACACAACCGCCACCCATTCCTATGAGTATTTCACATGGGTAAAATACTTGTTCTCCTGACCAAGAAAGAAACCTTAAAGAAAACTATTATAGAAAATTTTATTACAATCAATTTAAGGCTCCATTCTACACATTTCCTTGAGTACTGTGGTTAAAGTGGATTAGGTGGTAATGTTCTAAACAAGCAACATGAGCCAGCCCCAACCATATGCATCAAAAATTGCAGACATTACAAAGACCAGTATGAGCGAACAGAGTACGTCAAGCAGTCTGCTGTTCAAGGATATTGAGGGCATGTTGCCCTTGAATAGCATCAAGCTGCTGAGAAAAAACGTCAATACAGCAGATAAGTAAAAGCTGCTACGCATATCCTTACTACTCCCTGAAGGTTTCTCAGTAAGGAATATTTTGAATTCTCATCTGTGAAATGTTATCTTTGGATAGAAGCATGTACTTTGTAACCCAGTTTATCAAAATATAATTTTGTCTGCTTGGGTTCCAAAAGTGACATTGTTAGGAGAACTTCAAATCTAATATTATACTTAGTATTATACCAGCCCCCACACCCTAACCTGCTCCTAACTTTATATGCGTTTAATATACCATCTCACACACAAGCTAAGTTTATTTAACCTGAGCAGAGGACCCCAACAATAGAAGATGAAAGCCACAATAGCATGTGCTATCTACCTCCTAACTGAAAATCATTTTATACTGAAAACTAAATCAAGGCTGAAGGTTTTGCTAAGCCCAATTTTCCTGCAGCTTAGTTAAAGTTTTGGGGTATCATCCAACCTTACAGATTTCCTAGCACAAGCATTTTCAGCTGCGCAAAGGAACTTCCCCTCCCCCAAAATCTGTTATGGGTTTCCCAACAACCCTCCAGAACAGATTCAGGGGGCATGTGGGGAGAAGGAAGGGAAGTACCATTGTACATCCCAAAGTGCTTGAACTAGCAAAACTGTTTAGCTGGATACTGTCCTTAGCCTACAGCACCATATTTTTGCTCCTCCCAAAACTTGATATTGATGTTTTCAGACTTGAAGATTAACAAAACACCACCCCAAATAGGTTTGGACAATAATCTTTTGGCTTAAAACACAAATATGAATGAATCTTGTGGGCATGCACATAGCTCCTTCACTGCTCCCTTTGTGGAGGAAGCCAACAATTCCATCAACCACATTTTCGCACCACTTCACTATTAAGAAAGCCTTGAAGAAGTTCAATAAGTTCAAGAATACTTTCTCATTTCATTTGAATCAGAAAACTATATTTAACAGCTCTACATCAAGCCAAACAATTAAGACAACTTCAAACCATGAATTCATATCCAAAACCCTTAACCATAGTTGCCCAGTTCAAATTAAACAGGAAGCAAGACTTCTTGGTTTGCTCACTTGCTCATGTGAACAGAAGAGGAAATGGGCTGTGGCCAAAAGACTTGTTCTTATCTTTGCTTATCAAGCCAATATGTGATCATCCAAACATGGTCACTTGTGAAGGTGAGTGTCTGAATTTAAGATTTACCTTTTACAAAGCTCTCACTTCAAGTTAGACAGCTAAACACAAGCATCTTTACATTCTTAGAACATGTTTGTAAAAAAAGAAAAAAAAACACACCATTGCACGCTTATCCTAAATTGAACACTTAATCTAAATGAGAATGAGATTAAGTCTGAAAGTGGGTTCAATTCCTGTTCTAGAAGCGGCATCTGAGTAATCTAGTCTGACTGAATAATCCCCAAACTGCAAATCACATGAGTTAAGTGGCCTGATTAGATAGGCTGCAAATGAGTGGCTGCATGTGGTGCCCATGGTAGTGATACACACAGCTACTGGGAAATGTAGTCATGAAATAAAAAAGGATAAAGATCTTCAGAAATGTGTCTTTTCCACCCTCAGGGCTATCTGCACAGGCAGAACTGCATGCATAGGACTACGTAGGGAGAACTGGGCAATTAATTTAAGAGAAATTAAGACTGTAGAAGAGATATTGGTTCTACTTGAACCAAACCAAAATAGAACCAAAATAGAAACTTTTCATGGAATCAAATGGACGGAAGGATCTGGTTCAGAATATCATGGGCTGGGGTGAGGATTTGGTTGTTGATAGCCCTCAAACTGAGGTCAGAAGTTGATGAGGACACAGCAAATGGACAGCCACCAAATTTAAACTAGTTAGGATGATTAGGAGTTATCCACAATATTCCAAAAGATATCTTACCTTAAATGGTTTGTCACCACTGTGCGTCAGCATGTGCCTCTGCAACCAGCTCTGACTTGTTGACGGGGTGTTATATACTTTGCAGCCTTTCCATAAGCAAACAAATACCTAGTAAAAGAAAACACAGCCATTAAGGTAGGGTGAATGTTCACCTATTGCATGATTTTAATATCCAAACTCAAGTACACTCTCAGTTCAACTGTTAAAACTCTCAAGTGAAGTGTGAAATTGTTTCCTCTAAGGATTTCTACAGCTGTAATTCAATTTGGTGTTAGAAAACATGACAGATTTCTGTTGGGAAAGAACATGCATTTTTAAAAAAACCCACTTTTGAGCTAAGAGAACAGAAAACATGCAAACAGAAGAGAACCACCAGCAGGTTATAAAGACTAAGGATGCTAGTAAATTTCTAGTTTGAGGACTGGACAATCACAATCCAAGGAAGTAACACAGTACACTATCAACAGCTTTATTTAAAAGACACGTAAAACCCTCTAGAGCTGATTTTGAGGGTGCACAAAGGGCTGCATGGGGGACAAAAGGAAGACTGAGACCCACTGCACAAGCTAAGTCAGTTCCAACAATGTATGGACAGCATACAACTCAGTTCCTTATGAAAGGCTTTTGAGGAAGTTTGGTAACTTGAGTTCATGAAAACTGATGCCGTAATAAATCATTGGTATTTAAGGTGTCACAGGATTGATGGTTTTTGTTGCAAGAGTCTAATACTTGTGTCAGCCACATGGCTAAATCATGATAAATGGAATGAACTCCTTAAAAATGGGAAGAATATAAAAATCAAAATCAAGAAATTAACATCGGGATCCTAAATATTCATCATTAGAGGAAGCAAATATTTGTGATGGCCATTAGCTCTAAAATTTAATTAGCAATTATGTGAAAAATCATGGGATTAAGGACAACTTTAAAAAGATATAAATCATGGGTGGCTAGCCCTAGAGTGAAGGGAACGTAATAATCATCACCCTTTTTTTGAGCCTAGGGAATCAAGACTCTCAGGGCCACATCAAAGTGAACGTGCCTCCCCTTTTAAAAAAGGAAACTGGGGGAGGGGAGTCCTTAGAGAGCACAAAAGCCTTTCAGCATCACAGAATCAACAGCAGGGGACTTGCAGGAGAGGTCTGTCAAAAATTCACACACAAGTGTGTGTGTACATGTATATGTATGACAAATTTTGGGAGGCCATATACAGCCTGCTGATTAGCCACCTCTGAACTAAATTAAGCAAACACAGGTCTGTTGATGGTTACCATGAAGGATACTGAACAAACCTGTATGCCCATATTTAGGCAGTACCTTGATAGCTATAAGATGATCCTGGGGTGGGGGCAGAACTCCACCAAGAACACACAATTCCTAGACCCAGAAACCATCAAGCTACTACTTCTCAGACTTACCAGGATTCAGCTTCAGTTAGGTAAGACTGCTGATCTGGCTAAGAATGGCATCACTTACATTCTTAACAGCAGTCCTGAGAAAGGGCTACAGTATTATTTCACAGAACTGTGAGATACTTGGGGTGTATTTAGGGAGAAACGTTCTTTTCTATTTGATAACAGTCTCCTTGTTCAATCATAGAAACTGCAGATAGCTACCATTTTGTTTGTGTGGAGACCCCTGCCATTGGTGCAGCTGAAGTCCAACAGCCTTACACTAGAAAAGGATTCTATGCTTTAATTATTCAGGTTATAAAGGCAGCTGTTTTTCCTCTTTTAAAGTGAGTATTTTGCTTTTCATGTATTCTTCCACTTCTATATATGTATGTTAAAAACAGGTTGCCTCGTCTCAAAACTCCAAGTTACAAAACCAAAATCTAAACTGCTGATGCAAAAGAAGAAAAGCTACATTAAGGAACACAAACTAACTAGAAAGAGAACCAGTCCTAGACACTGCTCCCTGCCTTCTCTTTATCAAGCTGCAAAATTCCAAATTAGATAACTCATCTCTTAACTTCAAACATCTACAAATCTTACTTGCTAGTGACAAGTGTCAGTTTATATCCCTTCCCCCAATTCTCTCGTTCAGTGGTCTGGAGGCAGCAAGAAACAGTAAGTGTTTCTTACTTTCCCCACACCAAAGTGAGAGTGAGAAAAATCCCCACCTCTCTCAAAAAGACAGGAAGCTGAATAAAGGCAAGATGGAGGCAATGCTGATGGATGGGTGGCATTTCCAGGAACTGGGACTTCAGCCTGCTCTAGACAAAATGGCACTCCCTCTGAAGGAAGAGGTCTGTCATCTGGGGGTGCTCCTGGATCCAGCATTTGGACCACTAGAGGACCAGGTGGCTTCCAAAAACGATTGGTATTTTATTTAGCAGCAGCAGTTATTAACTCTCAATGCACACAGTACAAATATCATGGAAGAGCAATGAAAAAGTAAACCAACCCCTCCTCGCTGGCCGTCTACATGTATGGAGCGAATGTGGTCTGCCAGATCTGGGCTTGAGTTGAAGCAAGAATGGCACTGGTCCCAACAGCAGTTATAAGCAATACTTTTTCCTGATGAAGCTGTAACTCCTTGTCCATTCATCATAACTGGAGTTGAACGTCCACTGGAAATTGTGCTGTCTACATCCATTATGGTACTGCTGATGCTACAGGAAGGGGGAGAGAGAGAAATGAGTTAATTATGAACCTTCTCATGTTTTCAAGCAAATTTATATTTCATCATAAATGGCAACACTCTAAATCCCAGCACACAAATTAACAAATCTCAATACACAAATAAATGAGACAAATGTTGGTTCTGACTCAATATGGGCGAAAACTAGCTGTGATTCATTAAAACTGCTCAAAAATCCCCATTTCACTACTCCCTGGCTCCATGTCAGGAGTTAGCAAACCACAAGCCTTGGCTTGTCATTACATGCAAACCCACGATCATTGCTTGTTTTGCTTCACACAGACCAGGAGTGTAACAAAGGCACTCCATGCAGGTGGGTGGGTTGGCAGAGAAGGGATGGAGTAGTCTGCCCCTCCACTGTGCCCAGCATAGAAACAAAATGGGCTGCCAGAGGAAGGGAGCCCTCCTCTGAACACAGAAAATGAGATTGTTTGCCCTTTCTCTGCCAGTCTCCAACAGGCTACTAAAAACTGTTGGGATTCTTTACAAAATGATGTACACATGATATACATCACAGCCATTTCTGGAAATATGTAAACAACTGCACACTGGCTCAGTCTTTGAGCACACAGAAAAGAATGACTGTGATTGCAGGCAATGGCCAGTTCCCAGTTCTTCCCTCTTCTGGGTCCAAAAGGACCCACGTGTCAGTTATCACACAACATTTGAACATACCTAAAATGTTCACCACCTGTACTAAGACCCAGCATGGGTTTCTGAAAAAGAAGTCAAGCCAGACAGATCTCTTAATTTATTTATTTTATTTTTCTAGTTACAAGCTTGGTGAATCATGGGAATGCTGTGGACTTAGCGTATCAAAGTAAGGCTTTGACAAATTCCCCAATGATAATCTTGTAAGAAGCTAGTAAAATGTGCACTGGATGAGATAACTGTTAGGTGGATTTGTAGCTGGTTGACTGACTGTACCCAAAGAGTGCTCGCTAACAGTTCATTGTCATCTGGGAAATAAGTAAAAAGTGGAGTGCTGCAGGGTTCTATCCCGTGCCCATTTTTGTTCAACATCTTTATAAATTACTTGGATGAAGGTATTGAGGGGAACCTTGTCAAATTTGCAGGTGACACTAAACTGGGACAGATAGCTAATGCCGCTGAAGACAGAATCGGGATTCAAAATGACCTTAGCAGATTGGAGAACTGGTCCCCAACTAACAAAATGAATTTCACTAGAGACAAATGTAAAGTTCTACACTCAGGAAGGAAGAACTAGCTGCACAAATATTAGATGGGGGGACACCTAGATGGCCAGTACTACATGGGAAATGGATCTAGGAGTTCTCAGCAGCTTAGCATCAGTCAACAGTTGATGCAGCAGGAGAGTAAAGCTAATGCTATTCTAGGCTGCATCAACAGGTATCCCTAAGCAACCAAATACCACTCCAGGCACTTCAGAAATAGTATTAATTTAACTTAGGCTGGACTGAAATTGCAGAAACACTTAACAGAGAGTAAACACTACTATCACCATGGAGCTTACTTCCAAGTACGAAGAAACAGGACTGCACTGCAGGTGCCCCCTTGTGACCTTCTCCCCACCCCCCACCCCCTTATGCAAGACTGTAAAAGAATTTGGGCATGTTTTGGTGATTGTTGCTTTTATGCTTTATGTCACATAACACCTTGCTTTATTTTGGACACATAAGAAATAAGAAACAGTATTGCTACAGCTACGGTATTTTATTCTATTAAAGGAAAGAAACACACTGCACTCAAGATCTGCAGTTCATTCCTTCAAGGGATGAGATTTCATCATTATTACTAGCAATCCCTTTTGGCAAATGTAATGAAAAGGCCTGCCATCTAAAAATCTGCCTGTATTGCATTTGTTAAAATTGTAATGGCTAGGTCAGTCAAAAACAAATACAAAAATACTCATTGTACAGTGGTACCTCTGGATGCGAACGGGATCCGTTCCGGAGCCCCATTCGCATCCTGAAGCGAAAGTAACCCACGTCTGCGTTTCGTGCTCTGCCTTTAAACCTTGCTTCCTAAAGTGTTTGACCAGGGCAGCTTTCCCTAAGGCACACTTCAGATCTAACAGATGGATCATTACACCAGCGGCCCTGGATGTCAACATGCAAGCTGGATTTGTTCATAGAACAGTATTCCTGAGGTGCAAACCTTCCATTGGGCACACACACAACTATTTGCAACCAAAGTGTATCTTGGCTGGTTAGGGGGAGCCAACACAGACTAGCACTAATCTAAGTCAAAGCTGATGTAGATTTTGGGATTCACAAAATATCTGCCTATGCTAAGAATCGTATGGTCTCCCTTAGCCCAGTTCTGTACATGCTCCAATGGGGTCAAGGGGCAGCATACAGACCTCTGCTTCTGATCTACCATCCGCCCGCAATCATCGTAATGCTGAGCTGACAAAGGTATGGACTTTTTTTGTATTTTTGATGTCTGCTAGGATTCAGGTGGATTTGTAGCTGGTTCCGCATCCTCCTGGAAAAAAGGAACAAGTGGGGTGCCGCAGGATTCTGTCCTGAGCCCATTGCCAGCTTGTCTTTATAAATTACTTAGGCAGGCATGGCCAAACCTGGCCCTCCAGCTGTTTTGGGACTACAGTACCCATCATCCCTGACCGCTGGTCCTGTTAGCTAGGGATGATGGGAGTTGTAGTCCCAAAACAGCTGGAGGGCCAAGTTTGGCCATGCTTGAACTAAGGGAATGCTCATCAAATCTGCAGATGAACCAAACTGGGAGGGATAGCTAATGCCGTAGAAGACAGAATCGGGATTCAAGGAGACCTTAACAGATTGGAGAACTGAGCCCAAACAAACAAATGAATTTCAATAGGGACAAATGTCAGGTTCTACACTTAGGCAGGAAGAACCAGCTGCACTATTATAAGATGGGGACACTTGGCTTGCCAGTTCTACACATGAAAAGGATCTAGAGAGTCTTAGAGATTTGCACTGGTTGCCAATTTGCTACAAGGCCAAGTTCAAAGTTTTGATACCAACATATACAGCCCTATACAGCTTGGGAACAGCTTATTTGAATGATTGCCGTATCTTTTGCATACCCAGCAGGTCAGTACGCTCCTTCAAGTCCCAAAGATATTAGTAGCCCTTCTATGGAAACCTGAAGTATGGTTTTCAGCATAGATGCCCCATTCTGTAGAACAGCATGCCTACTGGGGCAATTATCTGCATTTTCAAAAAACAACTGAAGACATGTTTGTTCTCACAAGCTTGCCCAGCTGGATGAATTCGTCTCTGGCACATGTGTCCATTTTGTATTGTTTGAAATTCATTTTGGTTTTATTTGTGCTGATTAGTTGCTGTTGTATCAGATTCCATACAACGCCTTGGAACATATGTGGAAGGCAATGAACAACATAGGGCACTATTGTACTCCCCCCCCCCAGCTCAAGTCCTAGACATTAGTCACTGCTCAGACAGAGCCCCTCAAAGACAGGGCACAGCTCAGGTTAAGTTCCCCACTAATCTGAGCTAAGACTGGTACTGTCATAGGACATGTGCGGAGGGTGTAGCTTACAAACAGCATATAAAATGATCTATCTAAAAGTTTTAATTTAGTCTAGTAGTGGAATAGCTTTCCCAAACACAGCTGGGAATTCACACTTAGAAACGGCCCTGTATCCACCCACCCACTGGTAAGGGTCAGCTCAGCAGTTTATAGCGTAACAGCACCTAAACTATAATATTCCACAGACTAGTTTTGTAGAGCCCAAGGCTCAGGAGTTTCTCTTCAAAGCCATCTTTTGGGAGTTCTGCTCGTTTTCTTCTGGTGTCCAGGGCTTAAATGACAACCAGATGAAATGTCAAGGGAATGGTCAAATGCACACCAAAAATAAGTTATCAGGGAGGAAAGAAAAAAGAAACAAGACTGTTTTGGAGCTGCATTAGATCTAACTCCAGGATTCCATTCCCATTTGGTCCCACTTTAAGATTTAACTGCATTTTAAGTAAAGCTCTCCAAACAGCAATTGACAAACTTGTCTGCAACCCTTCAGTTCTAAGACTTCCAAGGCAGTAAACAAATAAAACTCATAGAATGCATACAATTAAACTCAACCTGATATAAGAAAACAAATGGAGGAAATCAACAGTACAACCAGGACCACCACAACTCCAGTTAACCTAACAAACTTCAGAAGATATGTGGGTCTCAGATTAATGCCTCTGAAGACGACCTGTGCAGGTTCATGAGGAAGGAGGCAGCACAATAGATATGTAGGGCACAAGCCATTTAAGACTTCAGAGGTTTGCACCAAATTTCTGGTTTCAGCTGTTCCCAGAAACAGACAAATAGTTCAGGATAGCTGTTCAAGGACAGGGTAGAGATTAGAGATCCTATTAGCCAGTCCCAGCTGGGTTTTGAACTGAGTGAAGTTTCCAACCACTTGTCTTTTCTGGTATAATGTACATAATCAGATAGTGAGTTAAGAAAATGTTGGAGCTTGTACACTAATGAAGAAAGTTATCTACTCCCTTGGTAACTGCCAGTCCTCTCTGCTTTCCTTTGAATGTTCCCTTTGAAGGGAAGCAAAGAATTTGTCCTCCCACCATCTCCACACTGTTGGCAGCATTTGCAGGCCTCTATGAATTTGGATTTTGCTTATTCATGGGCCAGTGACAACCACTGCTCTCCCTTCAGTTCTCCCTTTGCTCTTAGGAAATTGGAGAAAACAGCAAGAAGAATTCCAGCCATTTTCCCCCTTCTCCAAGCAGAGTGAAATTACAGAAAACATTCTTCCTCTCCTATAAAGGTAAGGTACCCTGCCATACGGCCAGTCTTGACAGACTCTATTGTGCGCCATCTCACTCAGAGGCCGGGCCAGCGCTGTCGGAGACACTTCTGGTCACGTAGCTGACATTCGCTGCTCTGGGAGCCAAGCGCCACGAAACGCTTACTTCCCGCTAGTAAGCTGTCCTATTTACTACTTGCACGGGGTGCTTTCGACTGTAGTGCATGAGC